AGAGCAGGCTGATCCTACTGTTTGGGTCTCAAGAAGTACCCTGGATTGAGAAATGTGAGTGTTACTTCAAGTCTTGGGCCACTATTGAAACCTTCTAGATAGAAACTGGCTAGAAATGCCTTCCGAAAGTCTTTCTCCAAAGACTCAGATCAAACATGTCAAGTGGAGCTTTACAAATGAAAGACTGACTTTGTTGAAAAAAAAAAAAAAAAAAAAAACAACAAAACAAAAAAACATTGCTTTCAAGAGCTCATGAAATCCTTAGCAGGTAACTTGTGGGGTAATATTGCCCTCTGGTGGTTATCAAGCACCATGGCACACAGAGGAAACACTAGGAAATTGCTCTCTTTAGCTTCAGCTATTAATAAATAGCTCCGAGAGAACATCCCCTCCCATGAAGAGCCCAATTCTTCTTAAAATGGACTCATAAATGTAGGAAAAAATTTAATCTTATATGACCGGAGCCCAAAGCATTTACTTACTCAATTTGTATACCGGAGGATGGGATTCTTCAAGAACAAGGAATAAAAAAAACCCCAAGATATTCAACAGTCCAAAACCATTTTACTTTGTATTACTATACTTTGTCAAAAAGGTAGAAACATGTTTGGTCACCCAGTTCACGTGAAGGACCTAGAAAGCCAATTCTCCCAGTCTCTGCTCTCATGGAGTCGCTTACGTGGCTTTTTTCATGGCTGCTTGTGTTACACTGAAGAGATAGGCTTCGTAGATTATGCTTAAGAAGTTGTCATCATTCTGGAAAACAAAGCCAACAGGCCAGGGGACCATTACTCGAGCAGCAGAAGCCAAGGCTTCCTGCCTGGAGCTGACCCCGCTGCTGTTTGTGCTGACAGCTGGCCGGGTCGGCCTATGTGTGTGGACGTGAAGGGGCTGAGGCAAGGTTGGGACAGAGCTGCTGGACTGTCAGCCCGCATGTGAAGTCCATGTGCTCCTAACACCTGACACAGACAGCAACCCCGCCACGTGGAAGCCAGCTGTGCAGTGTGTAGGATGGGCCAGGAGGAATGAGTCACAGTGCCTTGGCAACGGCTTAGGAGTTGGCTAGTCCCTCCTAAAAATTCTCTAGGTTGCCCCAATGTCTGTGCACTGTTTGGGGTGTTCATAGGGATTTTACCCACAGCATGGCTCATTGGTACCTTCCCAAAGGCAGCATGGTCGTTCCCATGACCTGTGGGAAGTCTCTGGGCTCTCTGTTTAAGATGGGGAGAACTAGGGGTATGGGCAGTGCTTCTCCTGATTAATGCTAGAGGCTGTCCCCTCCCACTCGAATCAACCAAGTCTCTGCAGTCACTCCATGCCCCTCCCCGGTTACTCCCTCCCTACCCCACAGTCAGTGTCGTTCTCACCCCACGGATAAAGAGATGTTATTTCTGCTTTTCCTACAAAGATGCCCAAGTGACTTTTAGCAATGTATCAGGAAGACAAACTCCACAACATGGAGAAGTGTGAAACAGCTAAGTCACAACACACAGCCTTGGGGTAATGTGATCAGACGGAATGAGTCAGAAAAGCAAGAATCCTTAAGATCTAAGGCTTTCCTTATTGTTCTGGTAAATAAATGTGCAGATACGTGTTCTACATTCTCATGAACTTATTGTGAAGAGGTGGACCGTATTTCTATCATGGTGTGTATTTAAGATTAGTGACATAATCTAATTAGGAAGGCCCAGTCATACTGGACTGCCATTCTACCCCCAAACTGAGATGCTTGCTTCCAGTCCCATCCCTTTTGTTCTCTAGAACATGTTACCTTAGAAATGTTGTCACCAGGGATGAGAATCAACAGGAGAGGCAGACAACCAGAGGCTGGCCTGCTCTCCTGCAGCTGTCTGGTGATGGACCGAGTGCTACAAACACTTTCAAGACCACCCAAGCTAAGAAGATTCCTTAACACATTAGTTGAGGTGTCTGCTTCTGTGTGCTTTCAAGCACTACCCTTCCCAGGGCCTATCATTCACTCGGGAGTGTGCTCCACTACGTGGAGGTCTAGTCCTGGAACGTTAATTTACATGGGCCACACAACAAGGGGCATGGACATTGCAGCCAGGCTCAGTGTGACACCAGACCAACCGAGGCCTCAGCTTCCTTGTCTGTAGACTCAGACAAAAATGGGTCTAAAATTTTTTATACTTATTGATTTTTTTTTCTGTGTATAGAGTGTGTGTATAGGCATGGATATGCCACAACGCAGATGTGATCAGAAGACAATATTCTGTCTTCTTCCATTCTGTGGGTCATCAGGCCTGGTGGCAAACACTTTTACCTGATCTGGTTGGCCCATATTAATAGGGTTTCCTATAGGCATCGAGTGAATTATTAAACTTCAATAGTGCACGCCCCACAGTTCAGTATGAGTCACCACCACAGTACAGAGGAGACAGTCAAGGCAGGGCTGACGAGGCACCCTATCACCCCACTCTCCTCTGAGCAGTCGGTTTTAGAAGCATAGCTGAACACGTTCTCAGTGGTCAGAGCCGGTGCGGCTTACAACTGCAACTTGCCTGGGATGACTCCGGGACTGTTCCCAGCAGTGAGCTCCCAGAGTGCCCTGGCTGGCTCATCATTCATCACATGCTCCCTTCTTGTCTGCAGCTGGTAGCTAGGAGGCCTTGCTCATTCCTCCAAGTCACAAATCTCTTGAAGGCTTGAGACATCTCAGGCCACCAGTAGTTTCTAAATATCATCCAGTTAACTGTGTTTAGAAGCTCTTTGGTGGTGGTGATGATGGGGTTACTCTTATGGCATCCAAAGAAGGCATCAGCCAACTTAGTCTGCCATGGCGCCCACTGTTAGTTAGGTCAACAGTCTTACCTGGATGAGGTTCAGCAGTGCCTCCTGGAGCTGCAGCCTGGTGAGGGGCCTGCTGGCCATAGTGGAGGATTCCCAGTTCTGCAGGGGCAGAAGGAGGCTGGAGGAGGCAGCAGGAAGTTCTTGGCTTCCTAGAGGCATGAGGCCATTATCAGTCTCCCTCAGTGGGGCACAGGTGGACTGTGTGAAAACCACAGGGGGCATCAGCAGAGAAGCCACTGGAGCAGGAGCACACTGAGATGAGGTGATCTGCTCACAGCAAAGACATGCACACAAAGCAGAGTTAGGAAACAACCCACAAAATGTCACTCCAGAGATGAAAGGCCCTGCGCACAATGGTGGTAGTGGGGTGCTCAGTGGGGATCATCCCGGATGCTGTGGGTGGGAAAGGGTGACAGATCTGTTCCTGTTCCACACTCAACGGCCACTACATAGCTCTGGAATCACCCGTGACGATGACCTCTGTGTATGCAGTTAGACCCCTTGTGAGAAGTTAGTTTTCAGGTAACATGCGTTTAGGATTGCTGGCTTTACTCAGCACTAGCTGTCCACTGCCCTGCCCTGAGGTCCTGTCACCAGCGGGAGTGGCAGCATGTACTTGTCAGATGCACACACAGCTCTCAAGCCTGGCTCTTCAAGGAGACACCTCCTGTGACTAGGAGGAACTGTGATTTGTGGGTTTGCCCCTCTGGTCCTTCTCTGCTTATCGACAGAGAGCATTCCTTCTGCTTCTCCTGGCTGGCATGGGGGTAGGGACAGGGAGAGGGTAAGGAGGTAGACCATGGGATGAAGAGCAAGGTACATGGAGCTTGGAGCACCATGACCCACCTGTCTGCTGAGTCGATCCTAATTCCCTTGGCTGTCAGGTCTAAAGCCAAGTATTCAAATGACTTTCCCAATTATGCAAGTGACATTCTGAACTGGGTCTGACTGACTCCTACAGTTACCATGTATCTCTAACTCAGGTAACAAAAGTATCTTACTTCTCAGCCTCAAAGCCCTCCACCACTCATGAGAAGGAAGCAGAGAAGCAGCAATTTAGATGTGGCTGTCATTTTGTCGTCACTCCCTTGGCATCTTTGGGGGCAGAAAACGGCCTAGAGGAAGACAGGCTCTTGTTTCTTCTAGCTTTCCCTATTTGATATCCCAAGGAGAGGTGTTGAGAGCTGATGCTCCTAAGGGAGGGGTCAGCGTCAGGAGGAGCACGGCGTGGGCTGGCAGAATGTACACTTTCCTTATTTGGATCCTGACATTTGTGAGAACGAAAAACAAAGAGAACTGTATACGCAGACATTTAGTCTGATTATTAGCCCTGATTTTCTCATTCTAAATCATCAGAGAAATGAAAGCAGACATTTACAAAGGGGTCAACATTCTGCCCTGCTGTGAGAGGGAGGACAAAGCCCCAGTTGGCCACAGAAAGCACCTGCATCTGGGACTTATTCAAAATGAACACCTTGACTCGGTTCACACTCCCAACATACACGGTTTGTGCCCTGGGCCTTTGCTTTAAAGAATGGGAACAATTTCTGAGGAGCTACTGTGTGATAAAACATGTGAAAAAGAACAACAGTGTCATATATATAAAACAAGTAAGGGTAACTCTCCGATCTTTAACGTCAGCATGGTTTCAGGGACTCGATGCCAGACCCTCAGATGCCACTACAGGCAGACAATCAACAGATCCCAGCTTCCGACTGTCCCGGTTGCTGATGGGTACAGACAGCTATCTTCCCAGAAAGACACACTATTTCTAGAAATGGCACTGTGTTGCCTTCTCTGGCAGTTTGTGGGTGGTACACTTGTTTCTGCCTGTCCTCATAATATGGATCACCTAGAAGGCAATAAAAACAGCAGCACCTTTACTGCTGTGTCTGTTTACTTCAGGAACCCACAGGGTTGCCGGCTGTGGGATGCAGAGTTCGCTTTCTCCACCACTATGTAGGGAAGTGGCTACTAACACGTAGGAAACACCCACAATCACGGATGGAGCCAAGAAGCAAGCAATAACCAACCAAAGGATGAAGGCCGAGAATCAGCCAGATGTTTAAAATGTTAGAGCCAACTGCCATGGGTCTTCATAGTCAAAGACTAGGTGTTTTCCACATCTGGGCTGGTCTTCAGGCTTCATGACATGGTAGAGATTTAACTTTACACACCACCTCTAAATGGCAGAGGACACCAGACTGTAAGCAGAGAGAAGCTTCTCTTTCCAGACAGGAGGCAAGGTGAAAGACAAAGAGACACACTGAGGGGGTTCGGGTAGCTGTTCTAAACAGAGGCTCATGTGACACACGTTCCCTGTAGCAGAGGCAATCCTATTGCGTCACTATAGCATCGTTCTCCCAGGACGTATTTACCTGCATTAGAGGAGCCGGATTCTCCATGCTGGCTGTCTTGCTGGCCCAGGCTTCCACAGGCTTCTCTGTCCCCGAGCTCTGGGCCGACACGGGGAACCTGGCTGCCAAGGCTGGCCGGGAGGCCCCCTGGAGCTGCTGCTCCTGATGTACCACCTGGAGCTTTCTCAGCAGCTCCTGGGTCGGGAGCACACTGGGGCTGTTCTCCTGGCTGCCAGAGGGGGGCAGCGTTTGTGCTGGCAGTGCACACTGCTCCTTCCTGAGAGCCTGATGTCCTGGTGTGGGGGGAGGAAGGGGGCCACTGAAATACACCAGCTGTGACGGGGCCACGCTCTGGCACGGAGCCAGCTGAGTGGCCACAGCCAGGCTGGCAGGGGCACAGGGCTTATATTTATGCGCTGCCCCTGCGGCACCTTGAAGCTGCTCGAATAGCTTGTGGTTTCTGCAAGTGCTCTGTGCACAGTGTGCAGTCCCTCCGTTCCAGGGGGACCCCAGCTGGACAGGAGCAGGGAGAACTGGCCCTGCAGGACTGGGGCTGCCACTTTCACAGGGCCACTGCTCAGGGTGCTGTGGCAGCGGGTGCGGCCCTGTGCTCCCCACCATGAGTTTCTGAATGGCTGGGCATAGCTGCTTCTCCACAGGCAGTGACAGCATTCTGGGCTCTTCATAGGACAGGAAGCATCCAACTCCTTGATGAACTGGAAGCTGCTCTTGCTGGTGGTAGTGGTGGTGGTGATGGTGGTGGTGGTGGTGGGCAAAGGGCCGGGAGGGTTTCAGAATTTCATGACAGGGAACTTTGTCTTGTTTCCCAAATAGAGCTGTCAAAGATAAGTGTTGGGGCTCAGGGTCCAAGGTCTGGGGGGAAAAAGATATCCAAAAATAGGTTCACACAGTTTGGTTATGGCAGGGGGGCTGTGAAGCAGAACTCAGTTAACTGATGAGTTCTTCAATTTACAAAGGATCAGTGACGGGTGAAATTTATCAACTCGAAAAGCCTGAGACCTCTGAAATGTCTAATATCTTCACAGCATTCTCCCCTCCCTGCCCCTAAGGCTGTTGTTACATCACAGTATCTGGTCACTTGATAAGACATGCATGTGATCCTTGAGGGGTCTGCAGCTGGCAGATTAGGGGACAAAATTACACTCTATAGTATAGGATTGCACATACTTCATGGTAACCCATCTCTACAGCCAGGGTCCACCTAGGGTTGCTGAGAACAAACTGTACTGGAAATAAGCAGGACGTAAGAGCTCCAGGTTCCTGGCAGCTTTTCACAGAATTCGAGAGAGCAAGGCTAGAAAGAAGAGTATTTTAATCTAATGTGCAAGGACCAGGTGTATCCAATGCCTGGCCGCTACACCACTCCCGACCCTGAGCTGGTCCTCTTTCCCACTCTAAAGTCTATGTATCTTGGTTTATCTACTCAAATGAGAGAAATTCTCAAGAAAACTAATGAAAAGCTAAAATGAGTTAGAAAATACGTCTTTTTTGAAAAATTCAAAACAAGATTTTCATTAGTCAAGTAATTTTCTGCCTTTGGCTCATGCTCATTTTCAGAACTGATTTAAATTAATTCCTTGCAAAACATCTCTTTACCTAGGAATAACTATGATGAAAGAACAGATATGTTTCCTTTACAATCAACAATGGGCCCTGCTGATCAGCAAAGTTTGTCTCCGATGTACTGCTGTGGACAGCACACAGCATACACACCGCCCCAGGCCTGTGGGCCTTCCCCTACTCCCTGGCCCAGAGCTAATCCAGAACAGGCACTCTGCCGCACGGCCAGAGCCTGGCATTGCTCAGGGTACACAGTGATGCTGAGAAATGTCACGTTTTATTGTACTGCTATGGTGGCTGCTCCTCCAGCGGCCTGAGGAGGCACCTCTCTCAGAAGGTTTATGCTTCTGTCTCCCCTGACACTTGTTCTTTGAACAATGTAGGATCTTCTAAGCAGTCTTGGGTCATGAGCCACAAGCACAGCGTGTGGTCAACTGGACAATCCCTGAGGAAGGGCACCCGTGCTCCATAGTTCAGATGCACAGTGCAACAAGACCTGGCCTTTCTCCACCGACCTTAGGTGTCCTTCAGCAGGGCCAGGCCCTCCCCTGCAGTACATGGGTAAAGCTCTTTGAGAATGCCAGAGGTCACAGATGAAAGCAGAGGATTTCCCTGCTTTGTGTAGTGACTCCAGGTTATAATCTCATATTGGGAGATCTGGGTCTAGGAGCCTCAGATGAGAGAGAACATGTAACATTTGTCTTTCTGGGTCTGGGTTACCTCACTCAATATTATCTTTTCTAGTTTTACACATTTATTTAAAAATTTCATAATTTTAGTTTTCTTTACAGCTGAACAGTATTTCATAGCGTATATGTACCACATTTTCATTATCCATCCATCAGTTGAAGGACATTTAGGATGTTTCCATTTCCTAGCTATTGTGAATAAAGGACCATGACACCCAACAGAAGGTATGCTGACATGGAAGGGGAGATCTCATGGGGCCTCCCTCCTAGACAAAGAACTACAGGCAGCTAAGGAATGCTGAGAGCAGGAGAAATAGTATCCCCTAGGAAAGAGCACACCAACTGGTTATCCAATACCAAACGGTGAGCCCCGAAAACATGTACATACGAGTAACACCATACACATATACGTAACAAATAACCTGGACTGAACAGGTTGTATTTCTATATTTAGGAACATATAATACTTAGGAATTAAAGAAATAGTGGCCATGAATTTGAGAGAAGGCAAAGGCGTTTACAAGGGAGGGCTGGAGGGAAGAGAGGGAGAAAGCGATGGAATTATATTTTAATTCCAAAAGATGAAAACGGTTTTGAACAAAACAAAAAAAGCAGTCGACTCGTACCTTGTTGGGAGGGGGTTCTGGTAGCCTCTGGCTGCCACTGGGCCTCACGGGGACAGGTTTGATAAGCTTAGGGTTGTCACAGATGGCAGAAGAACTGGTTATCTGTTTGGGCTCAGAGCAGGTCTTACACTGGAATGGAAAAAAACCAAATACTTCATTTTTTTGAAGGAAATAAAAGCAGCTCTAGTGTGTCTACAGCCTTTCTTACTTATCTAATTGGTAGATGGCTAGTCTTTAAATAAGTTTTCATGCATGAAGGATAATCTCTTCTACTTTTCTGATGGGAACTACATTTAGGTAGAATCAACTACAATTTTTTTGGTGTGTGTAACTCAGTGTCCTAAAATATTACCACCTACATCAGTTAGCCCTGAGGACCCACATGCTTGTGGATAGTTGGAAGGCTATGTGTTTGCTTAAGAAGAAATAGTTTCAAAACAACCAGTCTAATAGGTTTTGATAGTGAGCAATCACAGAAATAATATAGAGTAGAATACAGGGAGCTGCTAAAAATACTTAACCCAAGCATCTAAACCCGTTTGGTCCACAAACTAAAAAGTAATGCTGTCTCAAACCACTGATTTAAAAATTGCTAACACCACCTTTATTTAATAGATGACTTCTTGCATAAACAGGATAATTTAAATGAAGTGTTCTGAGCCACTCACTACAGATTAGAATTTCATAAACAGATGAGACAGGCCTCATCATTTCAAATCCTGACTCATTATCACCTGTTAACCTAACCAACCGTGCCACCGCTAACAGTAGGACTCATGACAAAAGCACCTGGCGATAACGCTGTGGTTCATTTTGTTAAAACAGCAAATAAAACAATACACAGGTCCTTCTCTCTGTAGCATTTGCTTCAGCTGCCCAGTCAATGCCTCATACCTGAAACAGTCGTCACATCTGACAAAGCATGAGTGACAGACACCATGTCATCTCGGGAGCCCAGAGTTCTCAGGGGTTTTCTAGCTATTGGGGCACAGTCTCTTATTCTAGGACACAGGCCTGGGCTTGGGTGCCACTGTGTGCACCTGTCTGTCAAATCAACCACACAAAAGCCTAACTACATTTTCCAAGAGTCCTGTCAATTCTTTGGCCATTAGGCATTAGTACTGAATAGAGTGTGGAATTGCTTTTAAGTCATAAAGTGTTATTTTTACATTCTTCTCAAGTGAGTGACAGTGATTGGTGGTGTCGCTGCATGGGTCAACTGCTGTCTTCCTAAGAGCAGGGCAAGCAAGGCAGGGCAAGGCCACACAAGACCCTGACTTAGAAAGTGCTGGCCAGAGGAGTCGCTAGCCCCTCTTACCACTTACAAAGAGGTGTGTTAATTCTACAGAGTGACTCTTTATTTTAAACAAGGAAAATAGATTTCCCCCACCTTTCCTATGCACTGAGGTAGCTTTGCCTGCCATTACACATTACTCCTTAGGTCTTTTCTCCCTTTTCTTTTTGAGACAGGGCCTTGCTATATAGCCCAGTCTGGACTCACAATGACAACCCTAATCACAGGGAAATGCTAATCAAAGTTACAATGAGACCTCACATCATTCCAGGTAGAATATGTAAGCTCAAAAAGGCAAAAGAGGGGCTGGAGAGCTGGCTCAGAGGTTAAAAGCACTTGTTGCTCTCCCAGAGGACACAGGTTGGCTCCCAGCACTCTCAACCATCCATAACACTAGTTCCAGAAGATCTGATGCCCTCTCTGACTTCTATGGGCACCAGGCACACACATGGTGCATACACATAAAATAAAAATACTTTTAAAAAAGTCAAAAGATAGTAAAGTGTTGATGTGGCTATGGAGCAAAGGGAATCCTGGTGCAGTATTGCTGGCAATCTGTAGAAACAGTACCAAAGTTCCTAAGAAAAAAAAAAACCAAAAAAAAAAAACCATAACTACCAGAAGACCTACCAATCCAACTACTGGGCACATAACTAGAGAGTATGAAGCCATATGTCCAAGAGACATTTATACTTCCATGTTCACTGCAGGACCATTTATTAACAGCAAAAACATAGATCAATTAAATGTGTGTCAACAGATCAATGGATAAATCACACAACACACACACACACACACACACACACACACACACACACACGAAAAAAGTAGCCTTGCCGTTTGTGATCACAAGGATAAAAGCCAAGGAAAATGTGTTTAGTGAAGTCAACACATCACAGAATGGCAAATCCCACATAATGTCACTTACATGTGGATCTAGAAAAGAAGAACTCACAAGCGCAGAGAGAATGGTGGCTACCAGAGGCTTGGGGTACAGGCTATTGTGAGCATGTTCATAAGATATCAGACAGGAGAAATCCAAAGGATCCACCACACATCACAGTGACTACAGCTAAAAACTGCACATATGAAAGGCACTCGGAGTAGATTTTAATGTTCTCACCACAAAAATGCTATGTAATGTATGTATGTAATACATACATTAATTAGCTTGATTTAGCCATTCCACAATGTATATAGGTATCAAAACATCATGTTGTATGCCTTAATTTATACAAATTTTACTTTTCAATTAAATTAAAAAATTAATTTAAAAATCAGACTGAATTCCCCACCAGATTCCAGAGACAGAAGGGATCTCAGAAGTTTTCATTTAATCCTTATCAAGAGACATGAAATTCTTTCATACCAACTCCACTATGTCTTTTTAAACATGTCCAAAAATGGAGATACACTTCACAAGAATTCTGAGGGGAAAATCCTTGTTCTTTATTACTGTTTCCATTTTCCACTTCACCATACCAAACCCATTTTACTGATGATCTGTACCTTGTCTGTGTATGTTAAAACGCCTACTGCATACATGAGAGGCAAGAGCCGACAGGAGACGACGGCCTCTCTAATGTGACGGACGCTAACATTTACATCAGCTGGGGGGGTGGGTTAGGCACAACTCATGTGACAGGAAGGACTTGAAAGGGACCTTGAAAGTCTGACCTTGTCTGGGTGGGTGAGGAAGGGGAGGAAAGGCAGGAAGGCACCTTCAGGAAGCAGAAGTCAGTTTCAAATGCTTATAGAATACCAAGAAGACCATGTAATGGAAAGCTGGAAGTGGTTGAATTTCGTCCACGCTGTCTCTCTCACTCATCACCATGATCCACATGATTCATGATTATATGTCCTGCACTCAGTCCACACTGCTGCTGTGTTCTGGTTGGTGCTCTCGTAAGCTGGCGGCAGTGACCACTGAGTAGGATCCCATTTGCCCACAATCAGGAACTTCGTCAAAGAGGTCTGACACTTTTTGTTTGTTTGTTTTTTGAGACAGGGTTTCTCCGTGTAGTTTTGGTTCCTGTCCTGGATCTTGCTCTGTAGACCAGGTTGGCCTTGAACTCACAGAGATTTGCCTGGCTCTGCCTCCCGAGTGCTGGGATTAAAGGCGTGAGCCACTGGCACTCTGACACTTTTTAGGAGGAAATGACCCTGGGCAGCGAGGGTGCTAACTGCTACTGGCAGTCAATCATTTCTGACTCTTTGCAGGGAGCCAGGAGCTTTCAGTTTTGTTTCCATAGTTAAGAAACAAAACATGAACTAATTTTGATGTCTCCACTTAAGATGCCAACTTTAACTTAGTTTGATTTTCTTCTCTTACATCAAGGATTGGTTCTAGACACACTAATGTAATTTCTCATTTACTGTATCTGTAACAGCTGAAAAATTATAAGGTCAATATTCCTACTAATAAGACCACTGAATCAAGCTTCTAATTTGTTGTTCTTTTCACCCTTGAAGTATAATCTGCAAAGACTGTTCAGTTCAAACATTGTGGCTTGAAGTCATGATTTTCCTAATGATGCCACAATGTAATATTCAGTTACATTTTCTTATATTTTTTTTACTCATTTTCCAAATTCTAAGATTATTTTTTTCTTAATTTTATTTTATTTTGCCCATTTCTCTAGAGTGTTAATCTTTTATATTTCAATTTTTAGGGGACTTAACCCACCCACTTCCTAGTTTTTAGGTGTGAATATTTCTTCTCAGTTGTTACATTTCATTTTTTTTTTTTTTGCTTTTGGAGACATGGTTTCTTTGTGTAACAGCTCTGGCTGTTTTGGAGCTCTCTCTGTAGACCAGGCTGTCCTTGAACTCACAAAGATCTGCCTGCCTCTGCCTCCAAGTGCTGGGATTAAAGGTGTGAGCCACTACTGTCCAGGTTTTTGTTTTGTTTTGTTGTTGTTGTTTTTCATTTTTTTAAAGTTTGCAAAATGTTAATTTTTTATATAGTTGAAATTATCTGGTTTTGAGTTTTAAGGCACAGTTAAGGATTCTTTTTTCCTAGATTGCAAAGAGATCCAAGTAAGTTTTCCTTTGGAACTTGAATTTTCTAACATTTGAGATTCATCTTGGGTTGGTTTGAGGCACAGTTTGAATTCTGTACGCCTTTAATCCCAGCACTCAGGAGGCAGAGGCAGGCGGATCTCTGTGAGTTCGAGGACAGCCTGGTCTATAGACCGAGTTCCAGGAAAGGCATCAAAACTACACAGAGAAACCCTGTCTTAAAAAACAAACAAACAAACAAACAAACAAAACCACAAAGAATCCATTCACAAAACTGATCTGAAACAGTTATTTATCATATCATAAACTGGATCTACAATTGCATCTAATTCTGGCTTCAGCTATCCTGTTGGCCTATCTGGTTCCTGTGTCTGAATACCAACAATCTACAGTACCCTACACATTCAAAACCAATTTTTAGCATCAAGCAGAGCCTGCTTCATGGCCCCTATTCTACCTCCAGTCAATACTGCTGGTTTTACAGCCCCTCCCCACTCCTCACTATGCTGAGGAGTTGTCTATTTCCCCTACAGTCAGCTTGTCTGTTCCAGGAGAAAGAGAAGAAAAGAAAACAGCAGTATTTCTTTAGAAATCAACTCAGACTTAGAGGCTAAAGGAGAATGATAACTTTACATCCAGTCTTCTTACTCCTTCGCTAAGAACAGGGCACACACTTGTGTCTCTTCAAGTCTACTTTTATGCTTTTTATTTTGATTTACAATTTTTAATTATCTTTTATTTATCACTGGGGAGGGTACCGCAGCACATGTGTGGAGGTCAAAAGAGGACAACTTGTGGAAGTCGGCTCTCTCCTTCCACCGGGTGGGGCCCAAGGACCAAGCTCAGGTCACCAGGCTTGGTGGCAGGTACCCTTACCCACTGAGCCCTGGTGCTGGGGCCCATGCTTGGAGTTTTTGAGACAAGTCTCACTATGTAGTCCAGGCTGGTCTGAAACTTACCATCCACCCCCTGCTTCAGATTCCAAGTCCTGGGATTCCAAGGCCTGCCCACCAATGAAGACATGATTGATTTATCTACATGTTACCACTGTAAAGGTAGTAAGTCCTCTAACCGGATATGATATTTTTGTAGGAAGGCTATTGATTTCTTAGGCTATCTTTTTAAGTCACTGCAGAAAACGGTCTACAGTCACTAAAAGCAAAGAGATCTTGATTCCCCCATTGGCTTTCAAAGAGCCTTAAGTCTTTCTCAGTGACAATCTTGTCACTGTGGTTAAGTGCGATCGTAGGGAAGAACAGACTCACCTTGGTGTACTCATCTTTGGCCTTGGTGAGCATCTGTAAGATATCTACTTCTCTGCCCTCTCCTGAACTCAGGGTCACTGGGGAGGATTCTGCTCCAGCTCCATGACAGGCTTTCAACTGCTCACACTGAGTGAGGCTAGAAAAACAAGGGAAATATCAGGGAACTAGTCAAAACACATGCCATCACTCAGTTCTCTCCCAAGGGTTTTCATCCCATTAGAGCCATCTTAGAAAGACTACTCAGGCATTTGAAACAGAGAATGAGAGATGAGGTCTTGAGTCAACTGGCCACATATGCAAATCCAGGGAATGAGTCAGCAAGCTATGACCTGTGGGTGACAGCCTGCCCGACCTGTTTTTGTAAAGAGAATAACAGACTGCTCACTGTTCAGCACATCAGCCACAGCTGCTTTTACATTGTAGCAGCAGAACTGTCATGGAGGAAGCCTTCCAAAGAACAGACATTCAACAGGAATGACCGGCATGACATAGAGATCCCCCTCCTTTCCAAATACCTCAAGGTCAAGCCAGGTGGACAGGACCACCTCAGATCTGGCAGCTTTCTGGAAATTTGGAGGTACCAAAAAGGTCACATCCTAACACTGACCACATGGTCCTAAATGTTGCTGGGAAACATAAAGAAAAAAACTAAAACCTTTCTTTGGCTTGTTTTGAGTTGCAGCCCAAATTCTTTTGTTAAAGTCATAAGTTAACGGTAAAGCAAGACCTGTGAAGTTACCAAGAGATTTTATTCTAACTAGAGAAGGGATCTGAATCCTGGCTAATCAACTGCTCATTGCTAGTAACAATCATTTTCCTGCCTGAACTGTTAGGCAATCACTGCAGAATGCTACCAGCTTTACCATGACCTCTTGGCTGCGCTACGGGGTATTTTTTTAATCCATATGAATCCTGCTATTATTATCCCTTGAACAATTTACAACAACATGAAATGTTTAAGGAACTAGTTGTTATGGTGGTAAATACCAGTTTGAACACACTTAATCACCATCTGGGACTTGAGCGGGTGGCCTAAAATTAGCTCTCACAAGCGAGAATTTCAGGAGTCAATTTTATTTATAAGAATGTGTTCCCTGGTTTTCATTCCCTTGGGAGGAGGGTCACTTTTTCATTTCAGTGCCCCTGGATTTAGAAATGAATACTGGTTCTTTACAGACAGAACATCTCATCCGGGTGGGGAGCAGCTAGCCTAGGCAGAGACCCAGCTTCATGAACTCACTTCATCCTGAGGCTCTTGGCCATTTGCATAAACAGCAGCAAAACTGAACAGCCAAGCAGAATCCACCAACCTCACCTGGGCCTCGTTTTGATGCAAACTAGGGGAGCTGAGAGGAGGAAAGTGGATGGCAATGTAGAAGCACCTCAGAACCAGTATGTGAGACAAGTAACTGGGGGTGCGGGAGGGGGGGAGGGAGGGAGGGAGGGGATGGCAATGTAGAAGCACCTCAGAACCAGTATGTGAGACAAGTAACTGGGGGTGCGGGAGGGGGGGAGGGAGGGAGAGAGAGAGAGGGAGAGAGGGAGAGAGGGAGAGAGAGAGACTCTGCACTGATTGCTAAACTAACACGAATTCTGACCTTCCCAGAGAGGAGAACTAAAGACAATTTTAGGCACTTGGTATTTGAGGCACTGGGGATTCTGAGTTCCGAACACAGTTTAGGAAGCTGTAAAAGGGTAGGCAGGAAGTAGAGTATTAAAGCCTTGGGGCATGTTCTTTTTCCTGATGGACACATCCAGAGAAAATACTACTTATTTACAAATGAAGAAAACACCAAAGACCCCCCCAACCCCATGGCTGAACCAGCCACAGCACTCGGGGCAGAACAAGGCACTTCATGCAGACAGTGGACCTAGAGAAAGCACAGAAGCCGTTTCTTTCTCCTTTTTCATTTAGTAAGCAGTGTTCAGTGTTTTTGGGGTCCCGTTGAAGATGATGGCTGAGAAACACTTCCTGGTAAAGTTAGTGTTGCTTCACACACTTAGAAGCGTGAGTCATAGCGCCCGGTACTAGGAAACACTTGGTCTTTTGATACTTACTTTTTCATCAGTTTTGCAATTCTTTGGCACTCTTCCTTATCATAAAACCAAATTCCATAAATGGACACTGGGGAAAAACACATCAAACAAGCCATAAGCATCTTCAAAGTCACACAATGGAAGAAATTCCCTTTCTGTCTTAGAGGAAAATATATAATGGTCAGTTGTGGAATGGATTTGTTTGATTTATTACTAAATAAATGAAGCCAGTCACTGGCGTTCCATGTCAAAGGCAAGCATCTCTACTGGAAGTGCTGAGGACTTGGTGCACACACTGAAGCGGCTTCCCTAACGGTGCAGCCTCTAGCTCGACAGGCAGTTGCTAAATGCTTCTTACACAAGTGGCTACAGATTGAAAACGAGACCAGGATTTCTAAACTGCTTGGCTTTGAGACTTCATTGTTTCTATATTCCATTTGCACATTTCATAAACACATTTCATCTTTATTTTTAAATATTCAGAAACCTGATGCTCAAATTATGCCTAGAAACCTCCTTCCCGCTCCTTCTCCAAAGAATATGTTAACTGAAAAATTGGCAGTGAGTTATTAGGATAGGGAACTAGAAAAAATATATTTAAAAATAAATTTCATTTTAAAATGTCCATACAGAAAATTTACAAATGTTGGAAGGTTAGGTATGACTATGGTGTAACCATTTAGCAATGAACAGAAATGTAGTATAACTGTGGTTGATTCATTTAGTAATTTTCAAATAAGTTATCTATTAAATTTGGTATATATCTAGCTCCATTACTTTTGTAGTAGAGGCTAAAACAGTTGCAGGATACATTTGTAAATATCTAGTTGAGGTCCTGGTAATATATGCAAAGAATCCTATAAATAATACACATGAACTACATGGACATTAAAAACTTCACTGAAAACAGCAGCAATATTATGATAGAGGAATGAAAATTAGCAAAAAGTATTTTAAAGGAAAACAAAAAATTCAAAAAATATGAACTTTCAAAGCATTTAATTATTTTGTATAAAGATAGCTATGATTGTCTAAAAACACCTTTTTCTGTTCATTCATCTCACCATGCACAGACATGAACTGTCTGCCCCAGGATAGTACTGATATAAATATCCAAAAGCACAGGAAATATCTTTTTAATGCTATTTTAAGCAGGTATCAGAAAAAAGCTTTATGAATCTAAATCACTAACTTGCCAAAAGTTGAGACATTAAACTTCATTTTTATACTGATTTGAGTACAGACAGAATCTTTTGACAAAAAGATTTATTTTAGTTTGTGTGTGTGTGTGTGTGTGTGTGTGTGTGTGTGTGTGTGTGTGTGCGCACGCGCACATGCCTGCAGGTACACCCACAGGCCAGAAAGGGCGTCAGATCCATTGGTACTGGAGTTGCAGGTAGCTGAGCTTCCAGATGTGGGTGCTAGGAACCCAATCTGGTCCTCTAGAAAAGCAGAAAGTGCTCTTACCCCGAGACATCTCTCCAGCCCATGCACACAGAACGTTTACCTCAGACACCTACATATGGAAGGGGCAAAGGGGATGACACCTCAGGTTTTCTCAACAGGGCACTCTCTGAGACAAACGCACACATCCATCCACAGCACTATGACAAACCTAAGAATATTGAGAACATCAGTGTTCTCCAATCAATGTGCTGTGCGTGCTTTCACAACGAAATAAAACCTTTGCGTCAAGATTAAATGTGATTCTGGAAACTGAGGTTCCAGGTTCCTTCCCACCGACCGGAAGTCAGTCTCCACTCAGACCCCCTAGACTCCTGTCCTCTTGTCCTTGTAAGCCAGGCTGGGTCACTGGCACTCAGCCCCATGAGCCTGCTTTCTTTGTCTCAGTTACAATAGGTGTTGTGGACCATTTGCTGCAGTGAAATCTTGCCTTCTTTGAGAATAAATTTTCCCAAATGGCAAGTCAGGAACTCATGGTGCAACCAGACACTGAAGCCCGGTGGCAGAGAAGATGGCGATGGGCGTCTTACTGGGACTACACTAACAAGCATTCCAGGTGCCACTCTGCCTCCTCTGTGACACTTGACACACAGAACTACAGGGCATCCATAAGGGCAGGATGCCAAGGAACAAAACCCTCCTGACATCTTCATCACCACGAGACGCTGACATACAGGTTTCGGACAGAACAACAGAAAACCCTCAAATGCTAAAGCCCAATGAAGGAAATACTGGTACCTCATGGGGATTTACCCGAGGCAACATGGTTTTTAACATTCAGATGGGATCGTTTGAAACAACTCTTCACCCGGTCAATATTTAGCTTGAATATAAGGTTTAAATAGGCAAGGGGAGGGGAAGATAAAACAGAAATTTACCAGCATTCCTGGCTACTAAAAGGAGCACCAAGATAGAGGACTGGGCCTGTGCTTTCTTCTCCTTAAAATAGTTCTGCAGCTCAGCAGCCCTGTGAATCCATGGACGGCCACATTCCAGCTCAAGTTCTCTGCGGTGTGGGCCCAAGCCTCCACCCCCACCAGGCCTATCATCCGTCCACACAAGAGGCTGTGCCAGACAGCTCGTGGTGATATACAAAGACCAGGACTCATCAGGCCTTCAGGAGGTGATGAGCTGACAGGCTGACAGAAGCCATTTGCTTCACATTTCCCTCCAAGGGCTCCACGGGGGAAGGGCTTGTCTCTGCACAGGTCTGAAGGCAGCCGCAAAGGCAGAAGAAGGGTTCGGCAGAGGAGAACCAAGGAAGGAGGAGTGTGCTTTTAGAGCTCTAACCTGAAAGTCAACGCCTGAATTCCAGGCTGAGTGCTAGGCCCCTGAGCGCTTTATGGCCCTCAAAGGTGGCCACAGAAATCAGCTCTGAGTTTCTAAAGAGTACAAGGAAAAACTACACGTGGGATGACTGTTTAGTTGTGGAATTAGCTGTTAGCACCCCACTGGAAGTCACCATGATTCGTGCCTTCGTTCAGCCGTCCACACCCCCATACCAGCCGCTTTCCAGTCACCTGTCTGAGGAAACAGAGGGCAAGTTCAAGGGCAAGGTGATACATGAAGCTCAACTCAACTGTTTCTACATCTCTCCTGGAGGTAAGAAACCCAGAGCGGAGCCAGAGAAAAGGGAAGCGTGTTGAGAGCCCCACTAGGAAGGAGGATCCTAGGAGGTTTTCCAGCACATGCTCCCACATGCCTATGCAAGCCTTGTTTTATTGGGACTTCTCACCACACTGTGGGGAAGTTGGGCTTGAACTGCCCTTTCCTGCTGCCATGCTTGAACAGTTCTCCATAGAAAACAGCCTGTCCGTGGTAAAATGCCTGTCTCCCCCTGTACTTTCAACTCCTTAAGAGACTGAGGAGTGTAAAATGGCCACATTAGAGTCCACGTCTGGGTTTTGTGGGCACATACAGACAAGGGTGAGCAAGCTGGCTGTTCTTGATGACGACAATAGTTCTTTAGTTTCTTCAGCAGGAAGCCTGAAAGCCAATCAAGTCTCAATGGGCCAATTAAATGGTCATTAGAGGCAGTATCAAATGTCACTTAAATGTGCGTTTTCACTTGCGCCCACTGGCTCCCATTAGTAGAGCACAGCAGTTCATTCTGGATGAATGAAAACAGGACCCGCCTCACCCTGTCTGTGCTCCTAATAAATGTTTTTATTTAATATGACCCTTAAGACATTTACATTCATTCTCTACTTTATGCCAAGTACTTTTCAACTCAAAACCATTTAATGAGGATTCGGGCTGAAATCTTTAAAGACAGCACATACCTACACGGCCAGTGAGCGGCACATGGATGCGGGAGGGTGCAGAGCAAACTCTAAGTGGGAGTTCCGGCTTGATGATGCTTTCTCATCCCAAAGTCTCCCCCTTTCCCTCCCCCTTTCCTTCTTCCTCCTCTTCACTTACTCCTGTAAAAGGTTCAGGCCATTCGTTTGCCCACGAAAGCTCTCAGTTCTCTCTTTACTGGGAACCTGGCAGAAATCAGTTCTGCAAACTATGGGCATTTGAAATTAACTAAAAAAAAAATAAATAAATAATAAGTTTCTTCAGACCCCACTTAGGTTCTGGTCTTCCTCACCCGAGTGAAAAAGTAATCTCTACCCCAGTGTATAATTGGCGTAAACACCTGTTTGGTGGACTTGGTTCAAACACGTTTTTTGGTGGTTGTTGTTGTTTTTTTTTTGGTTTATTTTTACTGTCCCATTTACCCAGTTCAAGCTGTTATCTGGGCATGCTGAAGATGTCTGCTTCCTAGAGGCCCGTGGAAGCACATAGAGTACCCACCTGTCTGCAAGTCTTAACAATTTTAGAAGGAGAAAGTCACTCACAAAGGAGCTGCAGCAGCCACGAGGAGTGTGCAGCTCAGGGACTCCCCTCCCGGAGACTCTGTGGCCACACCAAGCTCCATGAGCCAGCCAAATGCCTTTCCCAGTTTTACTTATTTTCTCTAAAATATGCTCCTGACAGTCCTCCAAATAGGATACATAAAGTCTCAAAAAAAAAAAAAAACAAAAAAACAAAAAAAAAAAAACGTTTACATGCTTTGATTGGATTTCCAAGCTTGGTTACGAAAGACGGGAATCAGTCTGTGTTCGGGTTTGTTTGGATTTGATCACATTTTGTTTATCTGTGTGTATATGTGTGTGGGCACAAAGGCGCCACCGCGTGTGCGCGTGTGCGTGGAGGTCCGAGGACAACCGGCCAGAGTTAGTTCTCTCCTTCAGCTTATGCATGCTCTGGGGATCGAACTCAGGTCAGCAACCGTGACGACAGCACCTTCACCTAATGAGCCATCCCACCAGCCCTCTGCTCTGAGACAGGGTTTGGCTATGTAGCCCAGGTTGGCCTTGACCTCACAGTCCATCTTACTTTGTGGATTATCTGAAATTTGTATTTTTTAAACCAGAGTTGGCCAGGACTTTCAGAATAAGGAAGGAAATGACTCTGGGGGAGGGAGGGAAGCTGGAAAGACTTGCATCAGTTGCAATGTCTAGAGTGGCACCTGGAGGCTGGGCTGTGTCCTGGTTCCATAGATGGGGAACCGAGGCCACAGCTGGCTGGCTCTGCATCAGTCCTGTTCTACAAAACTCTGCTTCCCTTTGGCATGCT